GCTGCTACTGGAGAACTTGGTTCAGACAACCCCTGCCAATAAAGTTGGCCCTTCCTGTATAAATTGACTGAGGAAGCCTGATGTCTCCTGGAAGCATCATTCTAGGTCTTCTGAGCCTCAGCAGTTCATTGCTGATTTTGTATCTCTTGTGTTTCGGGCACAGGATCTCAAAATAGCACATGAGGAAGCAGAGAAGGCCTTTGCGATGACAGAGCGGGAAAGAGTTCTGAGACTGACTGCTGAGCAGCAACTGTCTTTGATTACAAATATGCAGCCGAGGGATCTGGATGTGATGGCGGCACTTAAAGAGAAGGACAGGTGAGACCTTCTTTGTTGGTGAGCCTAGTGTAGTCCTGATTTTTCCAAGTTGTCCTTCTCTGCGGCCATGTTCAAACATAACAAGGTGCTCTGGTTTCTCCCTGTGAGAATGAGTGATGGCAAGGCCAAGGTTTATATGCAGCTTGCGCTGTCTCTTCCTTCCCAGAGGAGAAAATCAGAAATTTCCACTTCCATTTGTTCATGCATAACAATTCTGCCTTGGGCTTGTTGCAGGACTGCAAAAGAAAGAAGCCCATCCATTAGGGATACCTCTTTTACTTCATGTTGCTCCTTCCTGCTTCGCCTATATTGTAATATTTCAGCATTGACCTTTTAGATGTATAGAGCAACAGAGCCTGTCACTGAAAAATCAAGAAGCTCTGATCCAGAGCTTGGAAGAGGCCAAGTCTCAGAGGCGATGTGTGGAGGAGAGTTTGTTGGCAGAAAAAATCCAAGAATGTACAGTGGCTTTGAAGCGGGAAAAAGAGCAGGAACTAGAGGTGAGGAGACTGTCAGAAGGGCAGAGGTTATTTCCAAAATGGTGGTGTGCCCTCTCTGAAGACAATGGCTTGTGACTTTCTCTGTTCTTCTTTTTTTGGGTAGCTTAAGACTTGGCGATTCCAGTGTGCATTTGGGCTGAACTGGCCTTGAGCTGTACCTTTTATATTTCTTTTAGCAAAAATATTTCTAGCAAAAATGTGGTGTGTCTTTAGCCACTTCAAAGACTGATTGAGATTAGAAAGCAGATAATTAAAGAGACGTGTATCCATCTGTTACTATTTGTTAGTATTTTAAACCTAATTTTTATTAACCCCTGCAAAAGTGCCTTATGTGATGTAAATGCAGAAAGAAAATTAAAAGATCTTTTCAACTTTCCAGAGCTTTTCTGCAAAGCTAGAGTGTTTGTTGTTAGTATGTAACCTCTCTCCCTTCCTTCCTACCTCAGTGTTTATAGCTTTGGGGATGTTATGGGATAAAACATAGCTCAAAATCTTTGATCCTGGGGTTTACAATCTAAAATTCTAGTCCTCATGATTTCAGGTTTTTGCTGTGTTGGTGGTTAGAACTATAAAAACCTGCATCATAATTTGTTTGGCGTTCCTGATTTGGCTGGAGGTAAAACATGGCTATTTTGTTTTTATAGGCTCTCAGATCGGCATTCAACAATGAAAAAGGTGACTTAGAAAAAAGGATTCAGGTATGTTTTGATGTCCTCCCCTTGGCCAAGCATTTGCTGTTTTTCCTCTTAACGTGTTTTGGAGGAGGACTAAGTCAGAACTTAGTGGATACTGATGCTGACTGTTATTACTATCTCACCTTTTCCCCAATCTGGGACTCAGGGTGGCTTAGAAAAGATAAAACTGATATAGTTAAAAATTTACATTATACAAAATTTGAATATAATATAAATATTATATATATATTATAATATATATAATGTATATATAATAATTATAAAAATATGTCATATGTTATAATAATGTATAATGCAAAATATGATTAAACTAACAATAGAGAATATGGAGGTCAACTTGCATCTGGGCCGAACAATTTGAGGCTGTAGGCTGGGACTCAATGGGTCTGTATGCTGCTATATTATACAAAAGAATCCCTGAATTTAGAAAAAGTAGCTTGAGAGATAAGGTTCTAATTTCTTCTCTGTTACACACCACCTGTCAATGCGCAGGATTGTTTTGAGAGGCAGAAGGAACATGAAAGACCTCTCCTGGAGCCTGAAGTGGTAAAGCCCAGCTATAGGCTTATGAACTTGTCTGCTATTCTAACGTGCGGTGTGTGTGTGTGTGTGGCATTTTTAAAAGTAGGACAGTGGCATGCTATTCTTTTCAAATCTTCAGTCACTCCAGGAGGAACTTCGTGAACAGGAGACGGAGCTTTCTGTTGAAAAGAGAAACGCTCTGAAACGAGACAAAACTATCCAGGGATTAACCCTTGCTCTAAAAACCAGGGAAAATGAGGTATGTGGATTAAATGCTGCTTCTGAAAGTGCTTAAGCCATGTGCCCCAGAAACAGAAGTCCGAAGGAAGAGAAAGAGAGACAGGCAATGAAGTATTGGGAGTATAAATATGAAAGAGAGATGTTTCTGGGTCAACCCCAAGGCCTGTCCTGGCTAGCATCCCCAGTGGCCATCTACAACTTGGTTGTGAAATACGGAGCCCTTTCCTGCTGTTGTTGCTTTCCAGCGGCTGGTATTTAGGAGTCTGTATCTTCTGAAAATGGAGGGCTAAGATGTTGCATTAAACTCCTGGGCACAATGTTGTGGCTATGCTTTTATCTCCCCATCTGACCCCTGAAACCCACTTTTAAAGCCATTCAGCCATCTGTAGGGATGGAAGTCTATGTTGTTGGTGAGTGGGTGCTGCATGATGACATGGCCAACCCTATCCCTCCAGCAAATGATGTTCAAGGAGCAGAAGCAGGAACACTCTTCTGGTCCATCTTGACCAGTACTGTCAACTGTCCAGCAGTGCCTCTCCCTGGTTTCAAGCAGGATTCTTTCCTAGCCCTCCATGGAGATCCTTGATATTCCCCAGGGTCTCCCATCCAAACAATAACCAGACTGACCTTGCCTGGCTTCCAAAATCAAGATTGGAAAGTTGATATGGTGGGGTTGCTTTGGACACCCTGTTCCCGTGGAAGAAAGAAGTAAATGGGTAATTGCCACTGTTGGCCTCTTATCCTTGCCCCATGGCTTTTGAGTTTATTTTCTTTCTTTCTACTTTCTCTTCCCCCTCAAAGAATGAAGAACTTAGTTCTGAAATTGAAGGTTTAGCTGCATCATTGGCCAAGGCCAGAGAAGCCACCCATAAAGTTCAGATGCAGAAATTCAAGGTAAGATGTTAAAGATTATTACAGTTGCTCTGTGAAAATTCCCAGGCAGAAATATGTGCTTTGCCTGACTGGTTCTTGGAATGAAGGATGTTAGTTAATGAAGCTGTTAAATACAGTTGCTCAGAGGCCTGGCTGGCACTCTTCCTTTTCTTTCTATCCAGATAATGTGCTTATCTTTGACTGCAGACCTCTCTCCTTTGGGATAGTCCACTACGTGCCTATTTCGAGTCCCTTTGGCAGGAGGTTTTGGTAGCCCCCTCAGTCAGCTGTGCCCATGCTCAGGATGGACATCTAGCAGTGCTTTTGTGCATGATAGCAATAAAATTTTAAAGAAGAGACTGTGACATACGTCTCACTTATGTGTATAACCTGTTTTTGGGCTGTATCACTTCAGAATATAGGTGGGAAGGGGATAACGGGGATAAAAATGTAGACTCCCAGCATTTAGAAAGCTAGAGTGTCAGGAGGAATGCTGAGCTACAACTCTTCCCCAAGCATACTAGTTTTCTACATGCATTTGTTTCTTTCCTCTGTATTTGCATTTATTATTTAACTATCCATATTCTATGATGTCCAATAGCAGGTGCTTTGAGAAGCAGTCTTATCATTCATCAGTGGTACAGCCCAGACACAGGTTTCCCGCTGTGAATTCTGCTTCATTGCAGGGAAATCAATGCATGTAGAAAACTAGTGTGATTGTCTCTTCTGTAAGATTGGTTTAGATACTTTTTTGTGGCTTGGCTCATCTGCATACCATAATTTGGACAAGTGGGGGTCTCTCTTGTCTTTGCAACATGAAAAATTGTATGTCACTGAAGAGGTGTGAAAGGCAGAAAAGGAAAAAATAGACATGAAAATGGACTTCTAAGTTGTGTGAGTTGCACTGATTGTCACAAAAGTTATTTATTCATTTTTGTTCTAGGGTGTTGAAGATTCTCAGGTTCTCTTGCTGGAGAAAGAAAGCCTCCTGGCAGACTTACGATCTGAGAACTTGACCAAAGACACCGAGAACCGTAAACTCCAAAGGCGAGTTAAGAGGGCTGAACAAGAGCTGAGCGATTTGCGTCTTGAGAGGGAGAAGTTGGTGAAGGAGCTGGAGGAAGCTCAGTTACAGAAGAGCAGAAGTGACAAAACCATTAATGTGAGTGTTCCCTTTTCTTTGTTGAAGAAGGAAATTTAAAAGCAATGTGTAATAACTTTCCCCAAATGAATAAAATGGCTTTGTTTTGCTGAAATCCTCTTTGGCATTGTGTAGAATGTAAAACACCACCAGTGTACTTATGTGAGAGGTCCAGTTTGGGATGGGAGAGGTCTGAGAGAGTGGCACCTTTAGGAAGGATGATGGGCATGGAGGGATCTTTCCCAATGCCCCCACCCCATTGCCAACAAGTGACCATGTGTTTCAGGGTGGCAGTGGGGTGTACGTCTGGCTGCCATTTGCAGCTGAGAAGAAATCATTGCATAAAGAAGTACAGGATACCTCCTTCTGCAGCAGTGTTAGGCAGTGGTTATGCAGTCATAAATCAGTGAGAAGAGTTTGGGAAAAAGATTGACCTCAGACTTGATTATGCTTAAAGGAGACCCATTGAAATCAGTTCAGCTGACTAATTATGTGAGATTCTGGGTACAGGATTATTCTGAGCCTAGATATCAGTATCTCTGACTTCATGGTGGTGTGGCAGCATCTCTCCATTTGTCATAGCTGCTATGTGCCTCTGACTTGTGGCAACTCTAAAACAGGGTTTTCTTGGCAAGCTTTATTCAGTTTGCCTTTGTCTTCCTCTAAGGCTGATATGGTGTGACTTGTGTAAGGTCACCCAATGGGGTTCCATGGCTAAGCAAGGATTTGAACCCTGGCCTCTTTGAGTCTTAGTCCAGCACTCACACCACTACAACATTCTGCCCCCCCC